GCGCTGAAATAAGAAAGAATTCCCGGATGGTAGATTTTCAACAGTTATCATCGGAGAGATTGGGAGGCACCCCCTGATGTTTAGTCCTTTATTTTCTATTTGCGACTTTCCCAATATTTGTAGCATCCTTAACGTGATACTTCCCCCCAGAGATATACCGGCTACGTAAACCGGGAGGGGCTTCCTTTCACCTAGACTGTTATCTAAGAATGGGAGGGTATCGCCTCCATCATCTTCATTACAACCATTGAAGCTATCCTGAATTTTGCTAATATATTGCAATAAATCATAGGCAAAATCGTCAAACTCTTTTACATTATATCTGAGGTTCTCAAACCCATCTGATAGACCGTGGCCTTGTAAATCTAATCCAAAAACGGAATACCCATGTTGATTAAAATATTCTACCCAGCTATCTTCATAGAGGTAGTAATTAATTTCATCCTTCAATATAACGTTATCGTCGCTTACTACCTCTACATTGGGTCTTAAAAATTTCAGTCTCGCGTGATTTCTAATTCCATGAATCAGTACTATGATGCCTATGGCGTTTTTTACTAACCATCCGTAGCTTCTTAATAGTAACCCATCTATATTAAGAAATGAATCATGCTTTGGTGCTCCATCAAGGCGAGTTTTTCTCAAGCCTATTTCCTCATCGCGCGATTCTCTTTCGACCATGACATGACATAAAAAAAGGAAGAAAATGACATTACCTAAAATTACAGAAGGGAGAAGCACAATAAGAAGCAGCATATGAGGATTATTCCTCTAGACAAAGTGAATTTAGCCAAACATCAGTTAATTCTGCTCCTCTGCGGAAGTGGTTTAAGAGGAGCATTACAGACTGAATCATGTCACGTGTGTAGGGAGAAATAAATTTATAAGGGTCCGCAGGGACATCACACAGAAAGGAAAAAAAAAAAATTCTGTGGACTATAATGTGAAGAAACAAACAAAGTAATTAACAAAAATGAAGAGAAAATAAAAAAGATGAGACTTAGTGTAACGTGTGGGAAGTCTCCTAAGAGAAGTGTAAATCTATACTTAATAGTCATACTTAAAGATGCGGGTCGTTTTTTCCGGGACGCGATATACAACTGGAATCACGATTCTCCGGAGTTGTATTCCTAATAATCACTCAATTCTTGTTGCTTCATCAGGGATAAGGACGGAGTACGCTTCTTATTATCTCAGCTTGCTTGAAATTTCTGCAAGAAATTTCTTTTATTTCAATAATCTCACTAATCACTTCTCTTAATGACGAACTTGTACTTTGTTCACTGTTACTGCCTCTAGATTGTTAACTAACGGTTGGGACAGCTATGCACTACGAGGAGGACTTATGGCATCCCAAACGCCGCACCGTCTGTCCTGTCGTACAAAGACATTTTCGCATCTACTCCTACAGTATTATTTTGTTTGGAAGGTAAAGTGATGCCTCCGTCAAGATGAATCCATATGTTAAAAATAGAGAATTCCGATATTTATGCGGGATTGGACAATGATATGTCCCTTCATAGGAATCGTCTTCTAAATATCTACCCTCCTTTGCAAAGAGATCGTGCATTTGCCATGTAAATATAGTACAGATCGCATTCATCAGTTGAACTAGTCTAAAATAAAGAACAAATCTGCTTAAAGAGTACAAGTAGTAAATAAGGGATTTCTCATGGATTGTTAACATAAGAAAAAAGGGATTCTGAATTCCGTCCTTATCGTACGATTAGGCCATTGCAAAAGGGCAATTTATCCTTTTCTTATTGTGTTAATCCAAGTTGCAGTTATATAGATATTTCAGACGTACATTGCTGCTCCCCTGTCCAGGGCAAACGGACTTATTATTCTTGCATTGCACTATCATAATTATTACCATTAGAATCAGTCCAAAGATTGTAAAGCTCATGTTGAAATGGTACAAGTGTCGTTTTTTCTTTTTGATCTTCTTCCCTTTTTTTTTTTTTTTTTTTATCAAGGAGTACTTCATATTAGCACCGTATGGGCATAATGCACGTATTATAAAGGCAGCTCCTGCCACTTTTATGTAAAAAGAAAAAAAAAGAAAAGAAAGGAAAAAAGAAGCCGTCATCATGAAAATCTTCTACATACTGTTCCTTCTGCCCATAATTAGCTAAATGGATCGTTCGTTTTTTTTTAGAAGGAAATATTCTGCTAATCACAATGCGCATGAGTACTCAGCGTACCGGCGCGCGCTGTCGTGGTGTTCTCTAGTACGTTAGTTAAAGTACTTTGAGAATGAACAAGTTCATACCTTAAATAATTCTTACCCTGTAACTAAGCAAATGTAGTTGTCACACGAGGAGGATTATATAATGCCTATGTTGTTAATTTATCTCCCTGTGGACCCCTCAGAATTGACAGTTACATTATGCCATGAACAGATTACAATGCCATTTGTTTATTGCATCGCATCGTGTATACTCAAGGAATTATGTTTCAGGTAAATAGTTTCCTTCATACAAAATAACCTCAGAAATCAGAACCTAGCCATATATACACCAATATCATGAGAGAAGAGGAAAACGATCATGTAAAACATGTAAAATAGCTGCATGTTTACTGAACTCCTTGCTGTATTGGTCTGCCTAAGGCAGCACTTATTATTTATAAAAATGTCAATGAGGTCCACCTTAAGAAGAAGGCTCTGAATGTATACGCGATGGGGTTCCGCTGTATTCCTGTTCTATTCCAAGAGGCGCACAGATAGTGAAACACCAGAGAACAGCCGTGGTGCCTTAATCCTTTTCGTTTATTCAAGTTGTGGGACAGATAGTGAAGTTGGTAACAATATGTTTCCGCATTGACCCACTCAGCAATCTTCTTAGAACAGCCTTTTGTCTTTTTTTATTTTAAGCAGACTAATCCCTTACAAGACTGCTAGAAGTCACGTAAGTATTTCATCCGAATTCCGCAACATCACCTTGTTATGGAAACGTATACAGATAAATGTAAAAGGATATACTATATTCCCCCTGAATTCGAAGCATTCTTAAAGGTATAATAATCCCCATTTTGTAGAACAAATATCTTAATGATGGCACAGGGAATATCTCTTTATAGCATAATTCAGCTCTATCTGGGAAAACTATAAATGTATGGGACGATGACAAGTATGTATTAGGAAACTTTTGCCCACAACGGAACTTCGCACTATGAGCCTCTTCAATTAATACCCTTCATGGCGGTATACATTTCACATAATTATTTTGGAGTCCTCTTATATTCGCTGTATCTTATGTATGCTCAAAGTTTGTCCTTCTCTTTGCTCATATTCCTTTCCAGCTGTTATTCATTCCTCATTGTAATTCATGTGTGCACAGAATGATCACGATTCGCGGACACGAACCAGAATCAACGGAGTGGGCTGTGCGCTTACATCCACTCCTGAACTCTGGAAAAATTTCTTTCACACTCTGCTGGGACTCATTTATCACACAACAGTGTGACTCATAATTCAGAATAAAAATTTATTGACAAGACGGATACAGGACTCCGCATCGTGTTATATATTAATTGTGTGCTCTAAATAAAGAAAATGCATGTTCCCTTTCCTTGGCTTATTTTTTAGTTAATTTGCAAAAAACAAAAGAGAAATGCAGCTGTTCTGTTCTGTATAAACATTTCTATTTGCTCTTCTGCTAACTCCTTGTAAATAAGCTATACGATAGAGGACAAACCATGCTGGCCCCAATTGCGGAATGTTCCCCAATAGCATTCATAATTAGACTTCCCAGATAAAAGAAGGAAATCATGACATCTTTATTGTATGAAATCAATATTTCCCGTATAATGATTTTTGTCTCCTTGTCTTCCCTGTTGCTAGAAGAATGTTACTTAAGATGAAAAAGGAATAAATCTATAATGATGAGACGAAGCCTTATTAAAAAAATAAAGAAAAGACGAGAAATTCATAAAAAGGAGCCACATAAAATGAAATCTGACGATGAGGAGCCTAAGGTTCTATTTTATTATTGAAGTTACCCTTAGTCCGCAGCTCTGCTGTTCCTTTTTT